TGAAAATGTATTTGACATGAAAACTTTCATAATAATTACAGAACTAGCACATAATGTGTGCACTGGAACTCTGAATGATGTTCCTTTGTTAATACGCTTAATGTTCATTTAGCTTTAGAACAGAATGGCACAGCTTTATGCCATTTTTAAGCACATAAGACCAAAGAGAATATAGGTTTCAGACAACAAAACGAGATAAATGTGAATAGTTAACATACTAATGTTCTTATGCAGTTCACTTGTGCCTTGGAGGGATATTATTAATAATAATGAAAAATGAAATTTGTCCCAGTAGTACTGGCCACCCTGTTTTAAGAGTTTTAGAAGATCCCTGAGCACATTAGTTTCTGACTCTTAACCCCAACTCCAAAAACGATAGGGCTTCTAAGAATTGTTGATAACAAGATGGATTGTCATTCACAGTTAAGTCAATCATAAGGTGCTTATTTACCCTTTTTTCACCAATCAGCACAAAGAACTGTCAAAAAATAACTTTTTATTTTTTAAAAATAAAAGTACTAGAAGGACATGTGTGATTTAAACAATCAATGTTTGAGACAGTGGCTTTTAGGATAATTATCTGGCTGCCCCTCAACAATAAACAAGTGATTCAATCGACATTCCTTAGCAAAAAAGAAAAAAAAGAAAAAAAAAGAAAAAAGGCAAAAAAAAAAACCTGTACAAATATGTATTTTTTTTCCCTGAGGGATCAAGGTACACCCGCAAGTGCTCTATGTACATATTGCACTATAGAGGAATGAAGAACATGTGCAAAAAAGCAACAATGATAGAAGCTTACAGACTAATTCAACTTTTTAATTAGGACTCTGCTATGTTGTCTTGCATTTTGGAATGTCGGAACACAAACAGCTATTCCTTAGTTGAAAACTTAAGAACACGTATTTCTACTATGGCACATTCAATGAAATAAAAAGTTTTCCAAAGACAGATAGACAAATTCCATCAAGAAAATAATACAAAGTTTGTTTGTTTGTATTTTTTTTTTTAGAAAATTACATTACTTTCTTTCATTGTTTCACATTACAAAATCTTTTTTTTCTTTACACAAATCACATTTTATTGCAGGAATATTTCAAGTGCCATCAAATATTTATAGAAGGGTTAAAAAAATAGAAGTCTCTCTAAAGTGGTCCAGACAAGGCTTTGTATAGAATAAATCTTTTTTTCCACCTTCTATTTTTGACTTACATATTTTGAATACATTTTCTTTTTCCATTGACACTTAGTAGCCTAGAAGCAATCAGACGCTCACTCACATTGCACACACATTCATTCACTCCCCCAACCTTCCCACATGCTCACATAGACCTGGGTATCCATACTATAAATGTACAAACTTCGTAAAGAACAACCAAACTTAGAAGAAGCAGTGTCTCAAATCAACTTTGCTTAAGTTACAAAGGGTGAATAAGGATTTTAGAGACCTAAGAGTATACTGCACTCTCTAAAAACAAAACAGCCAAATTCTAGACTTTAAAGCAAATAGTTAATCTGCTTGAAGACTCATTTTGCCATCAAGCTGTAGCTTTGTTTTCTACTGTGAACAAAGCCAAAATTGTCACAAGAAACCAGCTCTATAGATACCACTGCAATATACGGCATCCAGGTTTTTAACATAAGCCATATTTGTTCTAATTGAGAGTGGTATGACATGCTCAATGATGGAATAATGATGTTGATGTGGGACCAGTTTCCCAACCCACAAAAAAAAAAAAAGAAAAAAGAAATCTTCTGGTGGATACTTTTTAGGTACGGGCAACTTTAATGATAAGAATCATTAAAAAAAAACTATTCCCGTGTTAGCAAAACATATGATAGATGTTCATGTAACAAGGAAGAAATGAGAGCAGAAAATGAAAATTCAAAGTTTTTCACATTCATTTATGCACAGCATATTATTAATGGGATATATCACCTCACTTCAGATCTTGGATCCTAATGGTCTACTCCTATAAAATGTGTCTAGTTCATAATATTCAACATCCTCTTGGTCTTTCAAAAAGACCTGGTAGCAGCATTATATTACTCTATCTTGATTTATCCCTGCCTTTCCTTCAGAAGCAATGACACTCTGAAGTAATGATACCCAAGATTTACATCTGGTACAATGTTAGATCTTTTCTAGAATTGGTATCATAGCAATCTCCACAGATGTTCAACATCAAGGTCTGTCTCACCCTTAGAAAAGATTAGCTCATCAGAATCTTGAAAATGGACACTGAAATTAAGTTTAGTTGCTCTTTAAAAGTACTAGCACCTGAGGCTGGTCATATTCAGAAAGCTTTGGTTAAAAAAAGTTAACATACTTTAATAAAACCACATCCAAAATTTAGTAAATCAGAAGTGACTGATAATGAAACCAATTTAAAAAAAAAAGAAATATAGTAACTCATTAGTCAGCCCAGTAGGATATTATGGACAAATAAAGACATGGGATTAACTTAGTATATATGTTTTGCAGAAACTGACAATCAATTTGTAGGGGAGCATATTTACCTAAATGAACAATTTTGACTGTTAATTTCTGTATTTAACTGATAATCATTCTTTATGTAGCCACATGTTAAGGTATTTAAATAGTTTACTTTCATTTTCTGTTTACTGTTAGACAATGATTATTGATCAAATATATAAGTAATACATGTATGTGTATCTATATAATGTTCAAGATGTTATCTAGGCTTCATACAGATCTACCATACAAAGAATTTCTTTACTTTTTCAAAAACTTTAAGCAAAGGAGTCAATTGAATATGAATTAAATTAATTTTTTTTCTGAAGCCAAAAAAGGCAACAGAATATAAAGTCAAAACCAATATTCCATGGGAAAGATTCGGGAGATAATTCTAATGGAAAAGTAAAGGTTTCTGTGAGTATAGAAGGAATTGATTAAAGTTCCATTTGTACCTTGAGGCCACAAAAGACATCCTCTCTTTTGTATAAGCTGTAGAAGGCCTCTTCCTAAACCATGAGTATGACATAACTTGCCTTGTGGAGATGTGAGGCAAGGTATATTGAAGAAATGTGGAGAAAGTTTGTGTTTGAGATTGAGTGACTACCTACAAAAACATATTCCAGACAGCTGTGGGTGACCACAATTCCAGAAAGCAGACTGGGTTTTACACATTCTTTTTCTGTGTGTGAGTTCCATCCTGCTACTGAAAAAAAAAAAAAAACCACCACCACCACCAACAAAAAAAACTGTCCTTGAAAATACATTTGGCACTACTCTTTTTGCTTCTAGCATGATGAAACAGAATGAAAATATTCAGGTCCCTCGCATATGTAATGGTTATCAAATGATATCACAGGCATCAAATACTTTTTGCCCTGAGGCATACACTAGCATATGGGTAACAGGGCTGAAGAGTTCAACACACACACACAAAAAAATCAGGTGTCTGAATCCCATGTTTTGGACTCAGTATGACACCTTGTGGGACCAAAATGAACATTTATAGACTTAAGAGGAAGGAATGACCATCCTGTTCTGGAAATAAGCTCACTGTACCTTGATATTACTCCTTTCCTATGGGAATGGGGGAAATCCCCCTTCTCCCATTGTGTGAAAACCCCAACTATATTCCTAATGATATGACAAAATAAATTGCAGCCCTGATTTTCCTACTGAAAACATTATGTACTGGTGGTATCAGCTTCACTTTCTAAACATAAAAACATTTTACTCACTCTTTAACAAATAAGATAAAATGGTTCAACATATCTTGCCTCTGTTCTACCCTCTGTTGCCTACAAAATGAAGACTGCAATATTTTCTAGAATTCTAGAATATGGGAATAACTAGAGTTTATTCTGCGGTATGCTTTCAGGATTCCCACAGTATAAAAAGAACCCATAAGAACTGCTTCTCCACCCCTTTTACCCCTAATTCATGCCTCCCCTTAGTCTGTGCTTTATGACCACAAATTTGTTCTGGTAGTAAAAAGTTAATTCCAATAAATACACTGGTTACTGATTTGTTCCAAAGCTCAATGAGTGCTACTGGGAGATGTCTAAATACAAATACTGGATTCGGCATAATTAGGGCTATGAGATTTACAGGGGCAGGGGTAGGGAGGAGAACAAGAAGCATCTTAAAAAGCTTTTCCGAAATGTGCCTAACAGTCTACATGCTCAGTCTCAACCTAGAGTTGCAATTATACTTTTGTAGGAAGCTTAAATACATTCGTTTTTTAAAACTTGCCAAAAGGCAAAGTGTCCTTAGGGCTATGTCAGTTTCAGACTCGAATTCCATGTATAAAAAATGAACATAATCATTTCTAGATATGACCAGCCATTCTTTTAAAAGTATTTTTGAAAACAGCAGCATAAACACCTCCTTGCGTACCTTCCAAGCCTTTTTTTTTTCAGTTAAACTTGCCTTTCTGGTGCACGTGCGACACAACAATGAACACGCTAGCATTTAATTTAAAGAAAAAAAGGTGCAAAATGAAAAGTGCCTTATCAATTCAACAAGAAAAGCTATACCAGTTACTACATTTTATATTAATTAAAACAATATATAAACAATATCTCTTTAGCTATATATAGTCTTCATGCCCATTTACCCTGTAATATATTATAATGCTATTGTTGCTATTGCTATGGACCCTTTCCGTGCTGTCCTGCCTACTGGCAATAATAGGTGAAAAAAATAAAAATCTTCCTTCATGAGACAATGAGCAGGTTATACAAACCAGGGCAGTCAACCTCTGCTCTGCATCCCCAGCAGTCCCTGGTTACTATTGGACTTCTCTGTTCTGACTAGAAAGACTGATTACTCGGTAGAAAGTCCGTGGGCAGTGAACTACAAGAAAAGACAACCTTGTAAACAGAGGTCAAAGATCAAGAAGCCAAGACAGAAAAAGGGTCCATATCTGTAGGCATAATGGAAATCATATGCATGAGAAAAACAAATTCGACTTTTATTTGTTTTCATTGTTTCCCCTCCTTTGCCTGACCCCGACCACCAAAAGATGTGCAGTGTGTTGGCTCTCCAGGTCTGTGCAGGGCCATATAAAGTGTCTTGGTTAATTTTTTTTTTTTTAATGTTTGTACTTCAGACATTCTAGAAGTGCTTAGGTGATAACATTTACCCATCAATTTGCATTGCTGGCTCAAATTCTGAAGTGAACAACTCCTTGTATAACGGAGGAAAATGAAGTCGCACAATGTCTGGGTATATTGCTTTAAATGCCATAAGCTTTTCTGTATGTCGTCCACATAGTGCTCTTAATGTAGACACCTTGCATATTAACTGTAAAGAGAAGGAAACACAGAGGGTCAGAGGAGAAAAACAGTCAAGGACTGAGAAATTTTTTTTTTAACCTAGAAGGCACCTTAGAACAATAATACCCTTATTTTATACTTGGGCCTCTCTTCAGTCCATATGAATTTTTCTCTTTCACTTTAAAGATAAGGAATATTAGCTCCAGAAAAGGTGAATTAACTTTGCCAGAGATGTACAATCAGTCACTGGCAGAATTTGATTAAGACCCATGGAATCCAATAGACAATTCAGGATTTTTTCCACTGTGCCACATTGTCTTCCTCTCAACATAATGATAACAACAACATTTACAGAGCACTTTAAGGTTTGCAAAGAGCTTTACAAATACAGTTAGGTAGTGCCAAAGGCTGGTTTGGACTCAGGTCTTGCTAACGCTAGGTCTGGTGCTGTATCCACTGCATCAGACCTCGCTGCCCCAGTCATCAGCCCTGTCTATTCATGAAAGTAACTGAGTTCACATTTGCATGGTAGGCAAGGAAAAAGAGAGCTAAGTCCATTAGAAACTATCTCCTCTATTTGCCTCCCTTTCACTTACCTCCATGCTACCTAAAAACATAATAAAATTAATTTTCAATCCTCATTCTTCCACTTACTGGCAAATGTACTCCAACTAGTCACCACAAATAAACAAACTAACAAAGCACCTACCAAAATACTATAACACACATAGAGACAATACAGATAGTCTAAGACAAGGAGTCACCAACTGGAGACTTTCTGGCTCCCACCTTGGTTAATATTCCATCTTCCCGATGATTCTTCTGTAGGACATGCTGAAGTGCTAGTTGAATTTTCTGCTGTAATTTTTCTATTTTTACCTTCTCCTGCAGCCACGAGCGATCTAAAAGTGAGCAGGAAGATGGCTGAAGTATTCCTCTAATATCACATAATCAGGAGTAGTCCATAGGTTTCTCTAACATAATTTATCAAAGCTCTTTTAAAGACTGATCATGCTGGTGCCTTCCCTCTGAGATCCTCTCCAGTTTATTCTGTCTGTAGCTTGTCTGTATATAGTTGTTTGCATGTTGTCTCCCCATTAAAGTGTGAGATCCCTGAAAGTAGGAAATTCTTTTTGCCTATATTGGTATCCCCTGCACTTATCAGAGTGTCTGGCATATAGTAGGTGCTTAATAAATGCTTCTGGATGGACTGATGAATTCTCTCTACAGTTTCCTTTTGAATTTTATAAAGCAGGGCATGGGCAATTAAGCTTTTATAAGCATTTATTTATAAGCAATTAAGCATTTATAATGGATAAATAGGGCATGTGTAAGACCCTGAAATAACTTGCTTCTTAGAGTAGAAGTAGGATCTCTTCATAACTGGATATGCTATTTGAATTTAACTTGTGTATGCATAAAAGAAGATGATCAATCACAAAGCATTTATTCAGCTCTTACTGAAGTGCAAGGCACTATGCTAAGTGCTAGGGATATAAAGATAAAGTAGATAGTCCTGGCCCTCAAGGTGCTCACATTTTAAAGGAGACAACATGTATACAAATAGATAAAACTATCATGGGCACTCAAGTTTTCAAGATAACTAAATTTTTAGATGAAACTACTATGCCCTATAAGTGTACACGGTACATCCATACTCGAGTGAGTGTCCTTTCTGGCAAATATTAGAACTACCCTATAGTTTAAGGCAACTAAGAGTTTTACTAAGACTTCCAAGTATCAAATCATTTCAAGAAAAATAATGTAATTGCATAAAATATTTCATGGCAGGAAGTAGTAAACGAATGGATCTTATAACTCTGAAATACAAATATAAAGGGTGGGATAAAGTCATGCAAAGTAGTGCCAAAATGGTTTATTAAGAGATGGTAGAATGTTTTAGGAGGTACATTCCCAACTTTTACTGTCAAGGCAAACAAGATCCATTCACGTTATTTCATTTGGAATCTCTACCTGTAGAATATAGCCTAGATGAACCACCAGGAAGACCCATTGTGGGGCAATTATTTTTTAAAGGTATTATTTGAATTGTATACACTGGTAGATCCCAATTTAACATTTCGGAGAAAATGTTTTTTATCTAGTCAAGAAAGGGAAGTTATACTTACTAATATTAAAATCAGAAATTCTTTGCCTGGACAATCTTAAAGCTATTATTTTATTAATTGAAATCAGCCTTACCTGCAGACATTAACACAAATGCAGAAAACAATGCAATCTCATCTTCAGTCAGGTGCATAGAACATAAACTCTTTCCAAATTCAAAAACAAAGCTAATAAAATCTTCACAACCTGTCAAAATAAAAACATAAAAGACTTGGAATTTGGGCTAACATTCTAGAGAAAAAGATATGGCTATCATACTATTTAGGTATAAGTATCTGATTTGAGAAAATTAAATGATTAACCTACATTCAGAAGTGGCGGTAGCAATTTTCAAGAGGCAACGAGGTGGCACAGTGGATAGATAGAGTACTGGACCTGGAGTCAGGAAGACCTAAGTTCAAATTCAGCCTCAGACACTTACTACTTGTGTGACATTGGGCAAGTCACTTAAAGTATCTACTTCAGTTTTCTCCTCTGTAAAATGAGGCTAACAATAGCTACTTCACAGAGGGTGTTGTGAGGACAAACTGAGATAATCCAATAGCATTTTGCAAACTTTAAAGTGTTACATAAATACTAGTAGCTATTACTACTGCTACTACTACTACTACTACTACAGCTTTTAGTTGAATTTTTAATGTAAAAGTAATTTAGTTATGGATGCTTCCTAGTTTACTTCAAAATTATTAAAATCTACAAACATTCTGTGAATTTTCCAGTAAAAAAATATAACTTAACATACCTCTGTCCTACTTTTATATAGATAAAATAAGTTGAAATGTTTTATCATTACATTTCTATACAATGGGTGTGGTGTGATATGGTATGGTGTGTGTGTGTGTAGGCATTGTAACAGAATTGATATGGTACTGGATTTGGCATTAGGAAGCCCTGGGTTCAAATACTAACTTGGACATTTACTAGCTGTGTGACCATACGGAATTCACTTAACCTTTATAAGCCTCAGGTAATTCTCTAAAACTATACGATATTACTTAGAACGGATATCAATATATCAAGTAGCAGTGATTTTTGTCAGTGTGTGATTTTTATTGATGGAGGAAGTTCTCACAATGACAAAATCATAGCTCCTTAAAATTTTTGTGTATTAACATAGTATCCATTTCTGAGTAATAATTTATTTTCTTCTAAATTTGGAATTCTTGCCTGTACTTATCTAAAGACCAGTATATATCTCATTATCAAAATTATATCAACAATTTTTACATTATGAATATGATTATTTAATATCTAGAGGACAAGCAAAAGGCTAGATATGACAGGAATTTATGGTACCACATATAAGAACATAAAAGCTTTTTAGAGTTTTCTGTAGTGGCATAGTATAAAATAAAAGAAGAATAAAACATTATTTTTTAGCTTTCAAATAACTAGCCCCCATTTTGGACGACAAAACCCCTCCAAGTATCTCTTTCTGCTGTCCTGGCAATTCAGTTTAGAGTTTTCTTACCTAAGGATTTGAACACATCAGGGCTAGCATATTTCCCATCAAAGTACACGGTGTTGTTCTGAGAGTCAAAGGCACGGCACATTCTGATAAACACCACTTCCAAAGAACCTAAAGAAAGACAGAAATGGTTTAGTTTGTAATACTTCAGGGAATTTAATTCTATACAATGAATAGAAATATGCTTTTCAATGGTCTAGGTGATGTAATGGGTACGGTATGTAATTTAACTGGTGAACTCTACAGTCGAATGAATGATTTATTCAGAATAAGTGAGATGTATTACTATCATTAAAGATTATTGTCCTGAGGCATCATTGGGTTTTACAGAAGAGAAGATTAATTTATAAATTACAACCTCAGAATCATTTCTGCTTTTCTATGAATAGTTCTAGTGTTACTAGGAGAAAGAAAAATACTTCAAACCTACATGTGCACATACCTGCATATATATATTATTTTAAAAAATGGTAATTTGGTATCTACTGAGCACCACAAGCAACCCTCTTCACTCCTACTCCATCCAAACTTTCCATAGGGTCAAAGAATATGGAAATAAATTTTGTCAAAATTTAGGAACACAAATACATATCAAACATGTTTATTCATTCAGAAAAAAAAAACTCATAATGAATGAATTGATTTTTAAAAATTAACATAAACCATTTAAAGTTGGTTTTTGCTAAGAGAAATATGAGTTAATGACAGCAGAGAAAAAAAAAATACTCTTCTCTCCCACCTTAAGAAGCATTTCGTTCACAAGCATGGTGAAATGGGCCTTGAAATCTGCCTGCAAAGCACATACCTGCTTTTAAAAGCACAATTTGATCGTTTTGACACAGTTCCATAAATCCATCAATGCGTTTGGCAAACTCCACTACGTACTGAATAGCTTCTGTTATTTTGACCGCGCACAACTGCCACATTACTTCTCTCTGCTGTGAAAGAGAGAAAACGGGTTACCATACAAAATCACCCACAAAGTGGGCATAATTGGTTTAACCGGTCTAATGTTTTCAAATCCGTCTTAGGTAGTGGACTCCAGTGACCAAGTTGTGTAGAGGTGTTTGATATCCTTTATGTATATAAAATCAATAGTTCATCTATTTTAATTTAGATGCAGAAAGTAATTTTCAAGTTCCTCCTCTTATTCCTCTCTCCCTAACCCCTACAACATTTTTTTTTTCCCTGCCTAGGACAAAGACAAAGAAGATATGCTATGAACACAAATAGCAAAAAGCTGAGGTGTACCATGGCATCAGCAGAAACAATCCCACTGAGCCTTTGGGAATGTGATGGCGCCATCTTATTCTCATTTTGTAGCCATTTCAAAAGCAAACCCAAATGATGCTTTGGTAAGCCCTAACCTGTCCAGCTGCTTGCCTTATGTAAGTATGATCCTAGAATAAGCTGGAGGGCAGCTTGTCTGTCACAGTCAGTTTCAGGTTTATTCTGTGGAAGGATGGGAAAAAAAAAAATCACTGGATACCTGAGATTTAGTTTTGGCTGTATCACTAACTCTCAGTATATATGGCCTTGGACAAATAATTTAACTTCACTGGGTTTCTATTTCCTTCTATAAAACTTCCTCCTTAAGTCTGAGACTCAAACTGGCATGTTTGGTATAGTGTGTTTTAAAACCTTTACATACCCTCTAAATACCTGACTCGACTTCAAGAAAACTAAAATTAAGACTATTTTACTCCATCTTTCTGGTCTTTAAATTCTCAAATGTAACAAAACACAAATATAAACTCATGTAGATTTTTGAAAGTTTACCTACCTTCTATTCTAAACCCCCAACCCTCACCCCTTTGACCCATTATAAGTGATAGGCCTAAAAATATTCTCCAAGGTTCTACCTTATTCTGATAGTTTTCAATCTCTTCCTGGAGAAAGGTCTGCCATGTTATCTGCTGTAGTTCCTCTCTCAAGTACTGGCAAGTTTCCATATGTGACTTGGAAATATTCTGTGCAAGGTGTTCTAAGTCAAAACAAAACAAAAAAGATCAGAAAGCACAATGATTTCCCCCCTTTTAATCTTTAAACCAAATAAACCTTTTTTTAATTACTCTGGCATTTTTCAGAACTTAAATAAGCTTATTAAGTCAGGGTTTCTTAACCTGGGGTTGTGAATTTGTTTTTTTGCCCCCAAAATTATGATAATTGTATCAATACAGAGTGACCTAAAAATGTCTTAGTGCAAAAAGGTATGGGGTGGGGTGTATGGCCCAAAAAAGGATCAAGAATCTCTGTAAGTCATTCTGAACAATTCACTGAGCACTCAGTTTAGGAAGACAAGACTGAGGAATTCGGACTTTGCCAACAGACAAGGAATGAAAACTTTTTAGAACTTCCTAACTTGATAACATTCTATCCCTCTACAAAGATGCCTGGGAATGAATGAACATTAAGCCAGACATAACTAAAACATAAGGGAAAATAAAACCAATTCATTTTAGATGTATTTAAGAGAACTCTGAACTTAAGGTAACATCTCATTCCTTTTCTTGATGGGCTGAGATCTGCACAGGTATCTCCTCTGCAAATGATCACATGGGGAGAATTTAGTCTTGATAAATTAGACAATTATATGGCTGCACAAATACAGAAATAGATAATATAACTGTTGAATAAGCATTTAATTAATGCCTTCTATGTAGCTAGTACTATATCAGATTCTGTAAGGGATATAAAAAGCTATGCTATGGTCTCTGTCTTGTAGGGAAGACATGATTTACACACTGAAAACAATTAAGTAGTATAACAGTATAAGGTTAAATGTAATTATATATTACATAAGAAATAGAGAATAAGTATTGTGGAAGGTCAAGAAAAGAGAGATCAATGTTAGATAATTGGGAAATGCTTCTTGGAAGAGGTAATGCCTAAAAAGATTTTGAAAAGTGAATGTAAAGAGGGAGTCTATGTGTGTTTACACATATTATCAAGGAAATTAAAACATTATCTGGGAAATAATTTCAGATAGGTTAAACCAAACTAGTTGCCAGGAATGATATCAAGATGTATAGTTTAGACTTGGCGAGATAGAGAAATGGAAGATTAGTTCAGTTGTAGCATGTAAAGGTAGACTGAAGGCAGAACGGACTAGAGACAAACCAGTTATAAGGCTGTTTCAGAAATCTAGATGCTAGGCAAAGAAGTTCTGAAAAAGGAATGGTAGCATGGAGAATTGAGCTGAAGGGTTGAATTCAAAGGTTATGTCAAAAGAAGAGTTAATTAAGAATATCTGGTAAAAACATACAATATGACGAAGAATGGATCTGGGAGCTGACTTGGCCACACTGCCATCAAAAATTCCCATTTAACCAGAGGTGATTACAACTTTAACAGAATGAGAATTGTCTGTGTGGAAACCACCTTAGAATGATGATGTTTTATAGAAAGGAACAGCTAGCAAAATGAACACATAAAGCAATAGAGAAGTAATACCCAAATAATCCTGAAATAAGGCATTGAAATACCTTCTAAAGAAACATAGCTTTCTTGATAGGACAATTTCTTTGGTTTTAATAATTCTTTCAAATAAATTAAAATATTTGTAAAAGTTTAAATTGAACTCGACCAATGAAAATGTTGAATGTAGAATCAGCTGAGTCTGATACAGATTACTGAAAAGTTTCCAATGCTATTGCCAATAGTAGAGAACATGACAAGTTGAACTGTGTAAAAATGCTGTCCTTAGGCCACTATAGATCCAGTCTGCCCCAGAGGCTGGGCCTCAATAAATCTGGAATGAATTCCCTATGGTCCTTTAAACATGGCATCCACTTCAGCCAGAACTTGTACTCGTAAGTCAGATGACGGGATAGGGCAGATATTATTGCATACTGTCTACAGTAAATACATCTACTTACTGAGTCAATAGCTGAATGAGTTGTATCTCATCATGTAAAATGGGTCATCTTTCTTGATATACTTGATCCAGGCTGCTTTCTCCCTACTTCTTGACCAGTCAGTAAAAGGGGTACAACTGAATGTTTAAATGTGAATGACTCACCAGTAGAGGGCAGTGGCCACATTCTCACCAGTCAGTATATTACAATGTTTTTGATTATGACTCACAACTCTTTATTTGCTGAGTTCTGATGAAGTCTGGGTTTTTAGAAAATTGTATTGCTCTCTGTAAAGCCTCTCTAATTCAGCAAATAAGAAAATATCACACTGACGAAAAGTTGGGACGTTTATTTCTTCCAATGATGCTTTATTCCTCAATTATGGAAATGGGAAGAAAAGAAAATAACTTTCATTTTCTACACAGGTCTCCAGGGTTGTTAGACTGTGCTACCTAAACCAAATATAGAACTTCATGATGGAGCCAAATTATCTAGAGAGAAATTTAGAAGTGCTTCCATTAAAAACATAGGGGGGCAGGGTAGGAGGTGCGAAAGATGCCACTCTGGAAGGCTAGAAGCCATTATGAGAAGAATGAACTGGTAGTGCAGCATATGCTAACCTACAATATCGTATCTGTAATTGCTATGCATTTGCAAATCAAAATCTAATGATAAGACTTATTCTGACATCACATCATTATGATTTACTTATGTTTAAGACTCAAACACTAAATTTTTTTTAAAAAATGCATGAATTCCCTTAAATTCTAGAACATTAGCACTCAACTTGCTAATTCTTGTCATAATATGGGAATACTCTTTTCCTGCATTTCAACTGAATAGTAAGACAGAAGTGCCTACTATGTTTAAGGGACTAATGTTTTAAAGGAGCTGATGTTCAAATTAACAAAAAATTAACAGAAACATTAAAAAACAAAATAAAATTTAAAAATTAACATAAAACAATCAAAACTGTTCAAATATGATATTGTAATCAAATTACATACTTTTTCAAGTCAATTCTATTTTAGTTCTACATTTCAGACTGATATCAGTGGGAAGGGAATAAGCTTTTATATGGTACCTACGATGCCAAGCACTGTGCTAAAGTTTGAAAGACCCTTGAGTAAAGTACCTACAGAAATATTGGGGTCACTGGGTCCCAACTCCCACTGTACTGTTGTAATGACAGCAATTTTGGTGTGTGGCTTGTTACTTTAGTTATGTGTATTAAGGCAACAATACTATGCCCAAAGATAACAGAGAATAGCAAAGAGTATAGAATTTATGGAGACTTGGCATTGAAATTAAAACAATCTTGGGTCATTAAAAAAAAAGAATGTTAGTTTTCAATCAAATCCTTGCTTATCTCTATAATCTTGCCTTCCTCACATTTCTGTTTAAGGGCCAACTGAGATTACAAGATAAAGATTTCTGGGTCCAGTTCAAGAAAACCAACAATAAAATAATCTGTCTTCTAGTTCAGAGGTTTCTCTATTAATTAAAAAGATGTGAAGATACCTTTAACATTACTCACTGGTTAAAGTTGAAGCTTAAAAAAGTGCTCTCGTGGATCTAGATTCATGAAATAAGTATTAATGAGGAATTGCAAAATGCAGTTCTATTTTCAGAAAGCTTTCATAGACAACAAAAATCTGCCCTCTTCCCTACCAAAAAAAAAAAAAATGTTTTCTAATGGAGAAAGACCTAGAGAAGGCAGGAGAAATCCTCCAAAAGAAGAGCACACATCTACAGAACGCAAATGAGGATTTCAATTGCTTACAAAGTTTTTCTGCTCCTGCTGTTAATTTCTCCTCTGAAGTCTTAATTTTCTCAATGTCACAGATCAGTCACTTCCACAGCAACTCACAGAAAGGTCCCAAAGGATTAGACCCTTGAGTAAGGAATCATCAGGAGGAGCAGACCCAAATAAAAACCCACCGTGGTTCTTATCAAGAGTCCCCTGATAATAGCACAATCCTTTAAATCCAATCAAAATGGCAAAAGGCAATTTCCTAGAAAGAACATTTTGTTTTTTCATTTTTGCAGTCCCATCTAAATTTAATCTAAAGCACCCTAGCAATGATAGCTATAAACAAATTACAGTTATTTTTGCAGTGATTAGTCAGTAAAGCGAACAGATTGGGTGGCTAGCGTCCATTAACAAAATACGTGGAGGAGTAAACAAAATTACGGCTTCACTGAACTCAGGTCTTCCTGATTCCCAAGTCTAGCACTCTTTACCCTTTAGAGAATAGGGCAATAACTGGAACTATCTCAAAGAAATCCACAGTAACATTTCCTAAACCTAAAAAATTCCTGTGGAATTTGAACTTCCTGCGAGAGCAACGCATTTCCTCACCTTTAGCGTGATTCGCAGTCAATTCAGTAACTGACTCAGCCATGAAGAGATGATACACAGGATGGGACTGCAGGGTCACTCAAATGATAAGGTCTGCTATAATTTCTAATAGCATACTCATTAGGAGAAAGCTAAACGCGTTAACTTTTCATTCAAAGGGTGTTATTAAAGCAATTATGGAAACTTTTCTCTGGTATTACCTAATTCTGCCATGGATACAGTCGGAGAAGTCTCTCCATTTGTGAAAGAGCAATAAGGGAAGAAGCCCGATGCTGGTGTGTAGTCACATATTGGTTCTGGTTTGATTCCATTAATATCAAGACCCGACTGATCTGGAGAAGGCTGTATGTCTAAGTAGAAGCTGCTAACTGCTGAGTCTGCTTTGCTACCTTCAGGGGTATGACCATCGATGTAATTACTGAGGTCGTCGTGAAGCTCCGTGAGCCCATTGGTGGTGATATTATAGGTGGGTGTCAGTGGCTCCGCCTCTCCAGGCTGCTGCTGGTGATCTCGCTGCTGCTGCTGCATCCGGTGTTTCTGTACCTCGGCGTATAAGCTGTCCCTCTGCTTTTTTGACATCCGACCAAATTTTACAGCTGGAGGGGGAAAAAAGGACAGACACACAAAAATGTATGTGTGTGTGTGTGTGTGTGTGCGTGTGTGTGTACATTTATGCACGTACGAATATATGTATATGTGCCTAAAATAAACAAATATATGTGTATACACACTCAAGTACAAACAATATTAGGTGTTGCTTGGGAACTTAAAAATTAAAGTGACAGCCTGAGACACACACAGGTGTGTACTGATATGTTATCATTTTTTCCCCCTTAAATATCTCTACATAGTTGCAAGACAGTAACAGGGTGGTGGTTATATGGTAAAGAGACTGACTCCAAGAACCTACAGTTGAGAATTTAACTCGGGCAGCCAGGTGGCACAGTAGATAGAGCACCAGCCCTGGAATCAGGAGGACCTGAGTTCAAATCCAGCCTCAACATTTACTAGCTGTGCTACTTTGGGCAAGTCACTTAACCCTGAGTGCCTCCCCCTGCCTAAAAAACAAAAAAACAAAAAAAAGAGAGAGAGAGAGAGAATTCAGCTCCTTCCTCAGACATACACAATAGGTGAATGACGAGGCAAATCACTTAAATTCTCTCACCCTCAGTTTCCTTATCTGTAAAATGGAGATAATAATAGAATAATGGCACTTAGTTCCCAATGTTTTTGTGAGAGCAAATAGAGTAACATATGTAAAGTACCTTGCAAATCTTAAAGTACTATACAAATGCCATCTAATACTATCATTCCAAGTATTAACATCCTCATTTTACAGGTAAAGAAACTCCAGTTCAGAAACTTCTTGTGACATTCTCACAGTTATTTAGGTATCTAGGGCAGGATTCAAATTCAGATCTCTCTTGATTGCAAGTCCAGTCACACATAAATACAAACACACCCACACACACTGTCTTTATGGTCAGGAGACAGTTTACAGATAGCTGATTATAACTGATTATATATTACATATATTGATTATAATTTCACATCCCTCCACCACAGCACAATGCATCTTCTCTCCAATTTTTAGATCAAAACCAAGAGAATGAATGTTTTACATTGGGAAACCTAGTGACAAAAGTCAGTCTTCCAACTCATTTCAACATTCAGATTACTATGATAATTTCTTAGGATAGAAACAGCTAGATGGCACAGTGGATAGTGGGATGGGCCTGGAGACTTGAGCTCAAATCCAGTCTCAACACCTGTGTTTGCCTCAGTTTCCTCCAGTGTAAAATGGTGATCATAATAGCACCTACCTCCAGGGTTGTTGTTGAGGACGAAGTGAGGTCCTCATTGTATATATGTATACACACATATATATGTACATATATGTATATATGTATATATACAATCCCAATTTTATTTCTGAAGAACTTAGCCTAGTGCCTGGCACATAATAATGCTTATTCCCTTCCCTTAGGCCAGCCACTAAAGTTTTAATACTCTAACTCTATTCTGTGCTCTAGATTTTGACTCATTTTCCTCTGTATTTTAAAGCATCTTTTTTTTTTTTTTAAATCTAAAGAAGATCCCTGATGTGGTCATGGTAGACCTTAGAGCATCTCTGGGCTCTGCTTTTCAGAAAGTGTACAATACCATTCTGTCATAACCGGTCTCAAGTTATCAACACTTGAATTTTGGCTTCAGTGTTTCTCCCTTGGGATGTGCCTCCAGGTACAAAATGAAGAAGATAATTAAGGAAGTTATCTGGGGATCATCCAGCTTGTACAATTATTTCTCCTGAAACAATCAGATCACTCAGGAAAAATTATTTATCAGCTTGAATCATTCCTGTAAAAGATCACAATTCTCCACTTTACAGAAATAGGCAAAAAGACTCTGTTAAGTATTACTGATGCTATTATAATTAGAAATTAGATATGGAAAATATGAATTAATTCATCTGACCTCCACCTCATTGTTTCAGGGGAAGAAAAATGAAAATGAGTTTGCTGGCTTAGGTCAGCACTCCAGATAGTTGTTGCACATTTTTTTATGCCAAAGAACACTTATGATATACTACTTCTTTTTCCATGTAGAAGAAACTGATTAATACGGAACATCAGATACAGTGATCAGACAAAACTTGGGCAGAAAAGCAGCATAACCTGGGTAGACCATTCTATAGCCTGACTGAATAGGGCCAGGAGTTTAGGTCCATAAGAACTAGCATTTACATAGCACTTAAGGTTTGTAGAGCACTTCACATGTGTTTTCTCATCTGATCTTCACTACCACCCTGTGAGGTAAGTGCTATTATTATCCAAATTGTATAGACGAAGAAACTGAAGCCGAGAGATTAAGTGACTTGCCCAAGGTCACACTGTGACTAAGTGTCTGAGGCTGCATTTGAACTCAGGTCTTCCTGATTCCCAAGTCTAGCACTCTGTCTACCACCACCTAGATACCTATAATTTCTCAAGTACAAAAACTGACCTCAAACCCAAAACAGTATGTACCATTTATCATTTGCAAAAAATCTAGAGATCCTGGGACCATCTTTCCTGAAACAATTAAAAAATATATGTCCCATTATATCCAGGGAATAAGTTTCGTGGAACTGTTATTGCTCTATATGTATAACAACTGCATAGTAACTACAGTCTTACCCTATAGTGCCTTCATAATAATACCTTTCAAAATAAGAAAGAAAAACTGTTCTTGAGAAAATATATTCTCATCCTGTGACTTTAATTTACAGGTTCCCAAGCAACACCTAATTTTGTCAGCTCAGTGCCAACAGAAGAGAAAATCTGCTGGCATTGCACATCACAGGAATTTCTAAGAATATGGTGTAAATTGTTTGTGACCTGCATCTGTCAGCTCCAAAAAATTTCAGTTTTATTCTTTCATATTCCAAGAGCCATGTATATACACCACCACCACCACTGTGGGCTGCATTCTATGTAAGAAGCAGGTTCACAGGAGTTTCTAAATATTGGATTCCATCAATAGGGGAGACTTTATTAGACAGTATGTCCAGTAAGCTGAAGTTGATTTCTACAGGGTGGTCCTTTAAAGAGAAACCTTATTAGAAAAGACATGATATTCAGTTAGATCTCATGAAAGGACCATCCAGCATTATGAAATGACCTCAAATGTACATAATATGTTTTGTGCCCAGTTTCCATGCATGGAATAACTGTCTTACAATCTGGTGTTGATTATTCTGTACACTTAAGATAGTTTCCCAGGCAAATCTAGAATGTCTTATAATTGGATGGTAGATGGTTTCTCCTTTTTAAAATATTTTTCCTTAATGAAAAGAACATTTGTTGCTGATCCAAGCTCTGCTTTATTCTCATATACTTTGGGTATACAAATATTTGACTTCAGCGTACAATTTTTAAAAATATGCACTGCAAGTTAAAATTGATTTGCTCTGAATGTCAGTAATCCTTTTGGGATACAGCATCTGTCTACAAACCTATACATTTGGGGGAGTTGCTTTGCCATCTGGCAAAATGTAATGAAAATTCAAAGTATGAAGGCAATAAGATTTACACCTATGTTTAATCAATGCATCTCCATATAGTGTCTTAAAGTCATACATTGGAAGTGTTCTGACACATTTTCCTTGTCATGCCACCCTCACTGAATCAGCTTAAACCAACCACCTCTCTGGAGATGCAGCAAATTGGATCAACATCTACGCTGAAACAGCTACATGAAGCAGGGGAATATATGGAAGCACTTAGTTCACATTTTAAGAGGTATTTTAACAATCTCATCCTAAGAAAGAGTGTCACTCTGCCCCAGGAAGAGAATGCAAATTGGGAGAGCTCACCATCTCGAGACATCCCTACAGCAAGGCATTTCTGTAATCGACAGTGTTGGCAGCGGTTTCTACTAGTTCGATCAATCAAACAATTCTTCTGACGAGGACAGGAGTATGTGGCATTACTTTGCTGACTCCTCCTGAAAAAGCCCTGTGATTTAAGTCATAAAATGCAAAAACAGTAGGTTAGTATCAATTTTATCTACCCAATGCTAAAGACAGTATACTAAATGGCATTAATATTTAATGGAGAATTAAACTTGTATTGGAATCATCTAGGAAATCATTAATGAAATTAAAGCTAGTGTTTATTTTTTTTCCTGAGTAAAATGAATCTCCTGAGTCCAATCCTACAGTCCTTACACATGCAAAACTCTCTTTAATTTCAGCAGGGTTGCCTAAGGGGTATTGGACTTGTTCCCCATTTTGTGGCCATTGATGATTAAAAGAAATTCTTTTGGAAAAGAAATAGAAGGAAATTAATCACTCACCTGTGTTTTCTGTAGATTTCTAAAATATTTATTGCACAAAATCACACCAAACAGGAATATACTTTTCTATGTTTTTCAAAGTTTAAATGATAACTCCACACCAGAAATCCTGGTTGGGTTGGGTCCCAGAAACAGCTCTGGGAATGCCCCTGCTCATTTTAGCTCATTTACTTAGTTCAGCTTAGGTCAAGTCACTTCACTTGTTTGGGTATCAGTTTCCTCATCCATCCAATGAGGAAACGAATTAGATGATTGCTGACTTTTCAATGAGGTTCACTTATTTTTCTTTCTTTTCTTTTTTTAATTAGTCAGTCAATAAACATTAATTAAGTGCCTATTATGTGCCAGACACTGTGTCAAGCCCTGGGGATAAAACAAAAGGCAAAAAACAGTCTTTGCTCTTAGGCAGCTCCCAGTCTAATGGAGGAGACAACATGAACACAACGATGCACAAACTACATGTGGGATTAACTGGATATTATCAATGCAGATAAGGTACGGAAATGAAGGCGGGGGTCAGGAAAGGATTCCTGTAGAAGGTAGGATTTTAGTTGGCTCTTGAAGGAAGCCAGAGAAGGTAGGAGGTAGAGATGAGGAAGAAGAATGTGCTAGGCATGGAAGACAGCCAGTTAAAATTCTTGGAGATGGGACAAGGAATATCTTGTTCAAGGAACAGCAAGGAAACCAGTGTCACTAGATTATATATTATGTGGGGGCTGGGAGGGGTAAATTGTAAGGAGATTGAAAAGGTGTGTGTATTTTGAAGAGTTATGGAAACCCCAAAGAGGGTTTTATGATTTGTAAATGTTATCAGGGTAAGAGGATGTCACTGGAATTGAGTAGGGGGATGACATGATCAGACCTGCACTTTAGGAAGATCACTGATGGCTGAACAGTGGATGGACTGAAATGAGGAGCACCTTGTGGCAGGCTATTTCATGCTATTGATCAAATGAGATAATATCTGTAAAAGCAATTAGCATAATGCCTGGCACATATTTTGTTGTGTTATTTCAGTCGCGTCTGACTGGGTGTCCCCATGTGGGATTTTCTTGGCAAAGCTACTGGAGTGGTTTTCCATTTCCTTCTCCAGCTCATTTTACAGATGAAGAAACTGAGGCAAACAGGGTAAAGTGACTTGCACAGGGTCACACAGCTAGTATCTGAGGCCGGATGTGAACTTATGAAGAGGAGTCTTTCTGATTCCAAGCCCAGTGCTCTATCCACTGTACCATCTAGCTGCCCTGCCTGGCACAAAGTAGGCTTTTAATAAATGTTTATTCCCTTCGTCCTTTCTTCCCACTTATTCTACCCTCCTCTGCCACCTTTCAGTTTTCTTTTGGACATTGTCTTCCCCCATCAGACTGTAAGCTTTTTGAGGGCCAAGAACTATCTTTTTTTTCTTTTTCTTTTCTAAACTTGCACACTCTGTGCTTACCTAAGTTTCTGGCACACAGGATTTTTCATTTCTCATCTGGACGCACTACTCTAGAACTCTGATTTTCCTATTATACCCCAGGAAGCTCAATATTGGGAAACCTCCTCATCCTGCAGGATCCCATCAGCCTTATCACTCTACCTTATTACCACCTTCTGCCCCTCTGATTGGAGGGTGGAGCCATGAACTCCCAAAGCTTTGGAGCTGAAGGAGCTCGCTCAGAATATCTCTTCATTTCTTTTCCGGCTACACTACTGTAGGATGTCTAACTTTTTTTTACCACACTCTTGAATCAGGTACTCCAACCCCTTTCCCCTCCACTGCTTTTCAGCTTCCTTTTATGTGCCGTCTTTCCCCATTAGATTGTAAGCTCCTTGAGAGCAGGGGCTGTCTTTCTGTTTGTATTTGTATCCCTAGCACTTAGCACAGTGCTCATTTTAGCTATGTGGCACAGTAAGTGCTTAATACATATTTACTAACTGATTGCTTAATAAATGTTTGACTATTGTGATAGTCACTATAGTGGGGTCATGAGGGCCCACACCAGAGTGTTGGCAGTATCAGAAGAAAGAACGGGAGATGTTACAAAGGTAAAATTGAAAGACTTTGGCACAACAGAGATGGTGAGCAGCTGAGAAGGACTCCTAGGTATTGAGCCTGGGCAGACTGGGAAGATGACAGACATACAAAGAATGTTATAATTAGAAAAAAACATATGCATTGAATAAATGTATGTTGAACTAAAATCAATCTAGCCCAACCCATTCACTTCCCAGATTAGGACACTGAAGTCCAGGGAGAAGAAATATCTTGCCCAAGGTACCACAACCAAGTCTGTACTTAATAGCATCCTTTACCCTGCGTATCTAGATGGTACTTGAACTCTTAGCACCAATGTCTTGACAGCCTATCTAATGAGGTTGGTAAACTTCCTCAGTCCTTTTTATTTTTTAATTATAATGTGCCCAGAGGAAACTCCTTGATGCTCAAAGAGGCAGAGGTGATGGTTTTAATATTGGCAAGATACACAGGCCACCCACTCAAAGGATTAATGTTAGAAGTGGGAAAATAATAGGCAAAGGAGCAGGTAGACTTTTAGTGAAACCTTAGTGTAGTGAGGGAAGATGACCAGAGTAGCTGTTCGCTCTAAGCTCATGGACTGGATATCCCATGGGGAAGAGGAGAGGATATAAGAGCCAAAGCAAATTACATCAAATGTCCTCTATGGCATGAAATGTCAAAGGCAGCGTAGGTCCCATGAGGCCAATGTGCAAACTGAAAGGAATAACTGAAAAGAGATAGGGACTACTGTGCCTCAGTTTGCCTTGGCAATATTTGGGGAATTTACATGGCTATGGCATGCCTATGGATCACAAGCATTTGCAGTTTTTATCTTTAAAAGCTGACAAAACCACTTGCTTTCAGCCTCAATTCCCTTCTGCTCCTCATTGCTCACCACAGCTACATGGGGCTCCTGAAAGCCCAAAGCTTACAGCCAATACCCTGGAAACCCTAGGGAAAGCTTTTTCAAAGCAAAAACTAGTTGACCTCTTCCACTGAGTGTTCCCTGTCCAGATCACCCCTCCCCTGCCCTGCCGAGCCACCCGGATCATTATAGAACATCGCCTATAAAACAGTACAGACTTCCATGTCTTTTTGAGTCATGAAACTCAATCTGGCACCTCATACCTATTTGTATAGTTTCCCCAAGTAGAAGGTAAGTTTGGTTTGGAGACACTCTCTCCATCTGTCTTCTGAGACCAGCCTAACTAAGTTTGTATAGGCTCATCACAGATGGAGAGAAATGATTATTAATAATCAACGATTTGGGGAGATCCAGAGTTCCCCCCTTTTTCTAAAGTCCTGATTTTAAAAAGTTCAGTCTCTTGAAGAACATTGCTGATAACGAGACTGGACTAATAACTTTCTTGTTCAGACCTCATCCATGTGGAGTAGCCATTATGTTTTGTTCAGCTTAAGTGGAGTATAAATTCTTTGAAAAGACTGCCCAAGGCTGGGGAGAGAGGACTTAGAAATGGATGATATGATCAAAGTTCAAATCCAACCTCTCATTGCAGTATTCATTATCTCATTAACGGTTAGCTAATCAGAGTTGCCACTTCTCTTCCAAAAGAGCATTTAAACAATGAGTATGGCCCACCATGATTGTCTTTGGTCTAAGAGAGAGATGGTCAAATGATCATTCTTTTATTTAAATGATAGCATTATTAAAAGTTATTAAAGTACCCAGAAATTATGTCTCTCGAACCTTTTTAATCATCAAGAGGCGGGTGAAAATTATAATCACAGTGACTCCTGAAAGCTATCAACACCAAGGGCTACGTTCCTTGTCTTATACTTTACGTCAATCCCAGAAATGAGCATGGTGCCTTGCATCTGGCAGGTGGCTCATCAAATGTTATGTGGATTAACTTTATGTTTATCATGAAGAAAGAACAGAAGTAAATAATGGGAAATTTCTGGAAGTCCAATGACACAGAGGGAGGCATGCTATCTACCACAGCTCCTTTCTCCTCCATGTCTCTAGCATTCTATACTTTACAAAACACTTTCTTTACCACAACCATTGGAGGTAGTTTGGTATATGTTTACCTAGATAACAATATATACATATAGTCAATGCATCAAAGAGCTATCATTTTTGTCATCGCTCTATTCACATATGCAGCTCTATAATTTAATTTAACAGATGATCTTCAAGAGTTGCTATGGTCAGGATTATTACCCTGTGGCCAACCTAATGATGAGCCTCACTGAGCTTTGCTAAGTTACACTGTAGGTCTATTGTGGGAGGACCATCACTAGGCCCATATACAAAGCCCCTCTGGCTCAACACACTGTACCAGAATTTGTGTTTCCCTAGCATAGCTTTTAAGAACTCCCTACTCCAACCCCCCACCTTCATCATGAAGCATCTCAGTAAGACTTTAGTAGAGGCACACACACACACACACACACACACACACACACACACGTACACACACTCTGGTGTTACCCAACACAAGATCCTTAACCTCCTTGGGTTACCATTAATTCTTTAAAACGAAGGGTCTGGATTAGATGATGTCCAAGACTACTCCTTGCAGGGCTGAATCTTATGAACCTATGATTTGTAATAACCCTCCACTCTTCCAGAGTTGTTGTTGTTCAGTCATTTTTCAGCCGTGTCTGACTCTTTATGACTCCATTTGGGGTTTTCTA